ATGCTGCCTGCAATGCGGACATCCCATAAGGCTAGGCTTGGCGTCCCAGCTGCTCCACTTCTATTCCAGCTCCCTGCTTATGGCCTGAGAAAAGCAGCAGAAGATGGCCCAAGTGCTTGGGTCACCCATGTAGGAGACCCAAATGAGGATCCTTGGCTTTGGCCTTTCTCAACCCCAGCTGCTGCAGCCATTTGGGAAATGAAATACTGGGTGGAGGATATCTCTAACTCTCCCTCTCTCCGTAACTTTGACTTCCAAAATAAGTTTTAAAAACATTAAAAAAACAAAAACACTAAGCTGTATAATAGGCTCAGCCTGGTCCCTCAAAGCGCACGTAAAACTTTTGCCATTGCTAAGAATGGACAATCAGAACTTGCTTCATAAAAGGCTTCCCAAATCTGGTCTGTTTGAAAACTTCCCCCAAGGGTCTTGCTTGAGTTGAGAAGCAAAATATTCGGATCCCTTTGAGATTGCCTCGCTCAGAAGCTAAAACACATGGCACAGCACCTGTGTCTACACACAGCACTTGATATATTGCTTTTGGCAGCTCTAGCCTACGTTTTTTCATTGCCAATAAAGTTATTGCAATTGAAGGAGACCATCTGTATGAGAATTTGTATCAGAACGACAGGTGACAAGGTGGAAGGTAATGACAGAGTGAAGCCGTTGCCCCAGCGAAGAGCTATTCCTGGCTCTCCCATCTGCCTGTATCGACTTCATTTCTTAGGTTTGGCAGCTTGGAACCAATTTGCTCTTTGGGAGCAAGGATTGCAAATCCTGTATAACAAACACCAGTTGGTTCCCAGAAACAATATTGAAGATGTTGGAGAAAGAGTCTGTCACATTCCCCCGCCCCGTTTGGTTGAACAAGAATGAACAGAGTGAAATTAAATCTTAACTGATGCACAGATGTAGGTAACAACGCTTATGGAAAATTCTAACACTGCTAGTTAAAATGTGGCTGTACATGTCTGAGTGTTTTGTAATGGTCGGAAAGTCAGCTCCCTAAGAGCTACCGACTGCGTGGCACGCTGCGTGAGCCTTTTGTTTTCTTGTCAGCCATGGTGAGCCTGCCCCCTGAGTACTTCTGGACAGAGACAGACCAAAGTCAAGGTGCAGGAAACATCTGCCCAAGACAGACTCACTCAAACTGTATTTTAAAAATATATAGGGCCCAACGTGATAGTGTGGCAGCTAAGGTCCTCAGCTTGAGTATGCCGGGATCCCATATGGGCGCAGGTTATAATCCCAGTGGCCCTGCTTCCCATCCAACTCCCTGCTTGTGGCCTGGGAAAGCAATTGAGGATGGCCCAAAGCCTTGGGACCCTGCACCCACACGGGAGACCCAGAATAGCCTCCGGGCTCCTAGCTTCAGATTGGCTCAGCTCCAGCCTCTGTGGCTACCTGGGGAGTGAACCATCAGGTGGAAGATCTTTCTCTCTGTCTCTCCTCTCTGTCTATCTGCCTTTCCAATAAAAATAAAATAAAATCTTTCATATATATATAAAGATTATATATATTATATGTGTGTGTGTGTGTGTGTGTGTGTGTAAAACGATTCATTTTACATGAAGTTTAGGCTGTTGACATTTACAAAACATTGAGGGACCCTCAGTAAATGCCCTGATCACACTGTAAGTGGCAGTGGAAGTTTATAGCGCAGGTGGTGGAATCCCAGGTGAGCCACATTGGCCTTTCTGGCACTGGGAAGCGCCCAGCTGAAGGACTCTTGAAGAACAATAACAGTCATGATCACACAGCTCGGCAAGAGAATCCATGGGGAGAATGACCCATGATGTCTATCCCAGCCTCAGGTCATAACCACCATCCAAATACAGGCGCCACTTGTCATAGAAGAAGAATCAGCATTAAAGAGAGAAGAAACTTAGAACAAGACGCTGAGTCTAGAGCAGGAATGGGGAAACTTTTTCTGCCAAGGGCAGATAACATATTTAAAACATCATTAGCAAGCCATACAAAATCATCAACTCAAAAATTTAGCTTGCTGTAGACTTTTTGAATTTTGGGTCTCATCTGTGGTTACCCTGGCAGAGTCAGACCCAGTGATTTGCAGACCTTCGACGGCCTTTGGGTCAGATGCTTCCCACCCCTCAGAGGAAGAAGATCCAATTCAGAAAGGCAAGCGAAACTAAAATAATAAGATTAATAACCTCAGAGTTGCAATACCAGAATTCACTAATATGCAAGAATGTCTGTATATAAGACACAGACGATAAGAATTCCAATGTTGCAGAAATTGGAAATCAAGTCGATCAAACACCAAGTCTCACTAAAGAGTAAATGAGTACTAAAACAGGAGACAGATTTAAAAAAGAAAAAGAAGGAAAATATGCCACACAAAATGAGGTCCAGCGTCTGATCAGCTTCTGCATCCCTCACATAGATAGGAGGGGAGGAAACTGAGACGCATGAGAGAATTTTCTGTGGTTGACCCACAGATAGCTTTGAATTTGAGGAACCACTGACTTACTACCCAATGCAATAAGTGGAAGAAACCCAACCCCGGGTGCATTTTGTACATATTGAGAATATCAACTTTCCATGAGAAAAGCTTGCCACCCATGAAAGAATAAAATTTATTTTACCCTGTTACTAGCAACAACATCAAGAGCTAAGAGAGCCAATGACTTCCAACCTCAAAGGGAACATCCTTTCTATCTTAATTTCATAGCCAGTCAAAATTTCAGACTCTGGGAAAGCAGAATGAAGATGTTTTTCAAAGATACAATGACTCAGAAGGCTTACCTTCCTTGAACTCTCTTTACAAATCTTTTCAAGATGCTGTTGTCTAGCAAAGAAAGGGAAACGTAGAAAGAAGATGCCAAAGAGTGCAGACCTGGAGAGGAGACAAAGGCTGTAGAAAAATCGCTTCGAAAAAGAAGACCATTCTCAAAGAGAAAACATAACCAGAAAATCAGACAAAGATATGTGATGATAGGGGAAAAAAACGAAGGCAACAACAAACTCAAGAAAAACACATAGAGCTGGAGACTCTATAAGGCACTGTGTTAATCAGTGGATTCTTCAATGACCACATTGTGCTTGGAGTGGAGAGACTGGTAGCGATCCATGAATGGTGAATTATCGAAACCACTTTGAGCGAGTATCTCAGAGCATGCCCCACATCCGGGACTTGGGGTAGGTGGGAAACTGGGTGGGGCATCTCCCTCTATATCCCCCTTTACCTCAGATACATGAAGGAAGTGGTATGGAAATGATGGTCTTACCCACTTCCCTGTAGCCCTTGTACATTTTTTGCCCTAATTAACTATGTAAAGATTGTCAAAATATAATAAAAATATACATAAAGAAAAAAACACATAGAGCTGTACAAGTCACAGATCACCTATGAAATAAACTGTTACACAGCACATGTTTAACTTCAAAATTTAGATTAATTTAACAAAATAGGTTTTGAGGATGGCATGGTGGCTCAATGGACCAGTACTCCTCCCTGTGGTGCCAGTATCCCATATGGGCACCAGTTTGTATCCCAGTTGCTCCACTTACGTTCTAACTCCCTACTTGTGGCCTAGGAAAGTAGTGGAGGATGACCCAACTCCTTGGAACCCTGCACCCACATGGGAGATCTGGAGGAAACTCCTGGCTCCTGGCTTCAGATCAGCTCAGCTTTGGCTCAGCCATTTGGGCAGTGAACAGGTGGATGGAAAATCTCTCTCTCTCTCTCTCTCTCTCTCTCTCTCTCTCTCCCCCCCCCCCCTTTCTCTGTAAATCTTTCAAATAAAAAGAGAGAGAGAGGAGAAAACTTTAGGGAGGATACATACTTATGCCCTTAGGGTGGTTGTGGCTTTGTGGTATATATATTTTTTTAAGATTTACTTATTTTTACTGAGAAGGAAGGTTTACAGAGAGAAGCAGACACAGGAAAACATCTTCCATCCACTGGTTCATTCCCCAAATGACCGCAATGGCCAGAGTTGAGCAAGTCCAAAGCTAGAAGCATCTTTCAGGTCTCCCATTTAGGTTCAGGGTCTTAAGGCTTTGAGCCATTCTCTACTGCTTTCCTAAGCCACAAGCAAGGAGCTAGATGTGCCAGCCCCTGTCACAGGTCTGGGGATACAGCAGAGACTCACACAAAGACTCTTGCTTCTATGGGACTGGCATTCTAATAAAATAGACTGATCCCAAGTTTCAGTCTTCCAGCTGCTTGAAACTCAAGTTCTGACATAAATGCTTATCACATACAGGCTGATGATAAGCCTTTAAATTCTCAGATCCCCCAAGTGGAGCCAGTTAGGTTTCTTCACTGTTGGACAAGACCATAATAAGATTTGTGAAAACATAGCTATGTCACAAAGAGTAAATAAGAGATACTCCATTCTGGAGTTTGGCAGTGAAAATCCCCTTAAGAATGCCTGATGATTGCTTCCAAGAGCCTCCACCGTCACCAAAGTCTGCAGATGCTCCAGGCCCTTACATAAAATGGCAGTGTTTGCATAGCACCTGTTCATAGTTTCCCATACACTTTGTGCCGTCTCTAGGGTGCTTGTAACATCTACGGCACTGTAGGAGCCACTTAAATAGTTATTTTCTGTTTTGTTTAGGGGATGACAAGAAAAAAAAAATGCTGTACCTATTCATGAAAGATTATTTGTTTTTCTGAATAGTTGGTTGAATGTACAGATGTGAAGCCTACAAACAGGAAGATCTGCTGGTACTTGTAAAATGTACAGATGTGCTCTGTGTGACATATCTCAAAAGACTCTCTTCTCTTGCTCCAGGTTCTGTGTTGAAATAGGAAGCTGCGTTGCACCAGAGGTGAGGCAGATGTGATTGATGAGCCACAGGTCCCAGCTAGTGCTGCCAAACGAAGACCCTTCTCCAGATCTTTCCAGCACCCTGGAGACCCCCAGATGTGAAGGGCGAAGATGCAGCTGGCTGATAGAAAACGGCAGCTGCCCAAGCGCTGAGCGGCTCCCTTGCAGCCAGCTCTGCCCACCTCGGAGAGTCTGTCCACAATGGCCTGTAACAGCACGACCCTCGAGACTTACGAATACTTGCTGCTCAATGCCAGCAATGGGTCGGACCCTGGGACTGCGCCCCTACCTGCTCCACTCAGGATATCCCTGGCAATAACAATGCTGCTGATGATCATAGTCGGTTTCCTAGGCAACACCGTGGTCTGTGTCATAGTGTATCAGAGGCCAGCCATGCGCTCCGCCATCAACCTGCTGCTGGCCACCCTGGCCTTCTCCGACATCATGCTGTCCTTATGCTGCATGCCTTTCACTGCCATCACCCTCGTGACCGTGCGCTGGCACTTTGGGGACCACTTTTGCCGCCTGTCAGCCATGCTCTACTGGTTTTTTGTCCTGGAGGGTGTGGCCATCCTACTCATCATCAGCGTGGACCGCTTTCTCATCATTGTGCAGCGCCAGGACAAGCTGAATCCCCGCAGAGCCAAGGTGATCATCGCAGTCTCCTGGGTGCTGTCCTTCTGCATCTCTGTGCCCTCCCTCTCGGGGCAGACATTTGTGGAGGTGCCCGCACGGGCCCCACAGTGTGTGCTGGGCTATACCGAGCTCTCTGTAGACCGTGCCTATGTGGTGACGCTGGTAGTAACCGTGTTCTTTGTGCCCTTTGGGGTCATGCTCTGCTCTTACCTGTGCATCCTCAACACGGTCCGGAAGAACGCCGTGCGCGTGCACAACCAGTCTGACACCCTGGATCTTAGGCACCTCACCAGGGCTGGCCTCAGGCGGCTACAGCGGCAACAACAGATCAGCCTGGACTTGAGCTTCAAAACCAAGGCCTTCACCACCATCCTCATCCTCTTCGTGGGCTTCTCGCTCTGCTGGCTGCCCCATTCCATCTACAGCCTCTTGTCTGTGTTCAGCCGGAGGTTTTACTACAGCTCCTCCTTTTACAGCACCAGTACCTGCATCCTGTGGCTCAGTTACCTCAAGTCTGTCTTCAACCCCATTGTCTACTGCTGGAGAATCAAAAAATTCCGTGAGGCCTGCATAGAGTTGTTGCCCCAGACCTTCCAAATCCTTCCCAAAGTGCCTGAGCGGATTCGAAGGAGAATTCAGCCAAGCACAGTCTATGTGTGCAATGAAAACCAGTCTGCTGTTTAGCCCAAGGCTCAAGGGGCAGAGGAGGGCCAGCCAGCCCAACATCTAGCAAGGAGTTTGTCAGTCCTTCCTGGTACTTGAGTCAACACGTGCATTGTGTGGTGACCATTTAAGCACAAAAGGACTCATCGGTTAACAGAGGAACAGTGCTCCCAAACCACAAAACTCAGCAAGGTGAATTGGGAGCCCTGCGGGGTTGGGCAGGCATTACAAAAGTGGTTGAGGCCAAATGGGCATGGAGTAAGGGAGTGCAGAAGTGGGGGGCAGAGAGCTAGAGAAGAGGTGAGGAAAGCTGGCTGGAGATGGGGCAGGAGGAAGGTCTGGTTAAAGAGCACAATGCTACCCTTGGTATCTGCTAGAGAAACCCCACGGTGCCATCCTTCTGATGGGAAAACTCCTAGCAGGTGCTGTCTCATGGATGGTCAGCATCCTTTGATGCTTGTGTTCTTCAAAGTTATTTAGTTTTGTGATGTGTGAGGAATCGGCAAGCTTCTTCGTGTTGGTCAGTGGTACATTGCTGATCACATCAAATCATCCTTTCTACAAAGAAACCAAAATCCCACAGGCAAGTAGAGCAAGTCCCTGGACTCTAGAGATCCCCAGTGTGGCATGTGGGAGATCTCAGAGGTTTGGAGCTCAGAAGAAATTCAGAGCAGCTCAGTTTAAATTGAGAAGCCCACCCATGTGTTGTGCATGCCCTTAGTCCCAGCCTTACACCTGGCCTAGCCCATCACATCCAATGCTCCCCATGTCTTCACCTCATGCATTTCCAGTGTGCTTGAGGAATTCATCCAATGAGCATCTGTAGTGACTTGCTTTGGTGTCAGGAGCTCTCCATCACTGCCTTTGTTTACACATTTCCTCTGCACACCTGGGGGCTCCAGAGTCTATGTGAGGTACCAGATCCACTCCACCTCGTGTGCTGCTGCAGGGGGCCCCCCTCTGTGTTCCTCCTACCTCATTCAGACCTGTTGCTGCCATCTGTGCACCTGTCCTGGACCAGGCTGGCAAGTGCAAATACTTAGAGAAGAATTCCCTGCTTGTGCCCTACACTTGGCCTCTGTGCCCGTGGCTACTCAGTCATCAGGAACTTCCAAGTTGGGAAGTGACTTCTCTGAGCTCAGGACATCACCTTGAGTCCTCTGAGCTCTCTTTGCTAATCCGGACAGAGTGGGTAATTTCAGTACAGAGTCAGGAAATCTGATTCCAGGTCTGACTGTGGCAGCAACCATTGGTGTGACCTTGTTGCACCTCACTTCTCTGGGCTTCAACTTCTTCATCTGCCAAGCAAAAAAAGCAGGTCTGGATCGCCGATGTCCTTACCATCCCTCAAGCACTCTGATTCTAAAACGGGTGTTTTCTACCCATGTTCACAGGAGTCCCCGCATTCGTATGTTGTCCCATGTAATGAGCATCTATTAAGTGCCTACTGGATGTGAGGCACTGTAGGGGAGACAGTGATGAGCAAAGCCTTGGCCCCGCCCAAAAGTTGCCCCATTTATCTCAGGATAATGGTTACTCTGTCCAAGAGCACAGAAGCTCCCGTGTGGGTTCCTTTCCGACTGCCTTTCAGGGTGTATGACGAGGACAGCTCCCCACCCTCACCCCGTCTTCCCATGGGAGTGATGACGGAGCCAAGGAAATGCAGTGAGGGGAACAGCGTAATTCATATGAACCTAAGCCTGGAGGAGAGTCTGTCCAGAATATCATTGGCACTTGTTCTCACCAATGCCACCCTCTTTGTATGCCCACGTTTGGAGAGAGAGAGAGAGAGAGAGAGAGAGAGAGAGAGAGAGAGAGAGGCAATTGCTATGAGATTGATTGGAGATGGTCCTGTTGATTTTGTGTTCAGTGTGCCCCCAACAAAGCCTGGATTTGCCTTCAGCACCCATGAGGCGGGGTTGGTTGCAGGGTCCCATGGTGTCCCCCAAGGAGACCAAGCCCATGAACACCTCCTGTTAGGTGGGCATTTAGGAAATTTTTCTTCAGGAAACTTGAGCAAAAGAGAATCACAAAACTGAATGAATGAAAGTACTAAACTCTGCATGAATCGGTGTCATATGATGAGTGTTGGACAGTAACGTGTTTCAAAGTAATAATTTTGTACATATTTTAAGTAAAGTATTACTGCTCTTTCAGCATACGTCTGGGTCCGTTTTTTTTTTTTTTTTTTCACGACCATCGTCTATCGGAGAGGAGGATTTATTTTGGCTTTTAGCTTCCAAATTCAGAGTGAATCAGGAAGGAAAAGGAGAATGCAAGTTGAACTTGACCTGTATATCCAGCCCTGTCTTGAAAACCACCATCTTCACACTGTCACTCTGGGTGTTGGGTTGGAATGAATGAGTCTTGACAGAACGCCAACGTTCTGTCTGTAGCAATCCCCTTTGATAAAAACAAGTTCAGAAGTCTGCATCCTGGAAGTTCCCTCTGAAGCTGAAAAGACTAAAAAGTGTTGCAGTGACAGCCAAGGGCTTGAGCCTTTCTTCTCTTCACCCCGTTTGCCCCCACAGCCCTGCTGAGTGAGTTCAGCCCCTTTGGGTTCCCGGGACTAGCAGGTCTCCACCTTCCCAGTTGTCTCTGACCTTGCAGAAATTGCCAACCCGGACATCCCGCTTCGAGTGCAGACCAGGTTTTGGTATCCTTCTCTGAGGTTCTGTTTCATCTGCTTTTCTTCCCACTGGGACTCACTCAGACCTTGAGCCTCACACCTGGATTATTTCTGTAGGGTTTGTGCAAGAGACAAAGTCCTGCTCATGTGTTAATAACTGACTCCCAAAGCAAGGGAGAGCTTAAATCGGAAGAGAAGACATAAGTACAGTCAGGTCCACAGGATCCTAAATCCCCATGAAGTCCCCCAAATCCAGACACTCAAGTCTCTTGTGTGACATGACACAGGATCTGCACAGAACTTCCAGACATACCTCCTGTCTACTTTAAGTCATCTCTGTATTACTCATATGATTCCTAACACATGTAAAGTTTGCATCAACAGTTGCTATGTCGTATCGTTCAGATGATGATAAGAAAGCAAATTTGCACACGTTTAGCACAGATCCACTTTTTGAAAGGTTTATTTATTCATTGGCCTTAAAAATATATTTTATTTTTGGGCCTGGCAGCATGGCCTAGTGGCTAAAGTCCTCGCCTTGAATCAGCCAGGATCCTACATGGGTGCCGCTTCTAGTCCTGGCTGCTCTGCTTTCCATCCAGCTCCCTGCTTGTGGCCTGGGAAAGCAGTCGAGAACGGCCCAGGGCCTTGGGACTCTGCACCCATGTGGAAGACCCGGAAGAGGTTTCTGGATCCTGACTTCAGATGGGCATAGCACCAGTCGTTGCGCTCACTTGAGAGTGAATCATCGGATGGAAGATCTTCCCTCTGTCTCTCCTCCTCTCTGTATATCTGACTTTCCAATAAAAATAAAATGAATCTTTTAAAATATGTATATATATATGTATATATAATTTTTGGGAAAAGCATGTTACAGACAGAGGCAGGTAGAGCTAGAGAGATCACTTCATCTGCTGGTTCCCTCCCCAAACAGTCACAGAGCCAGGAGACTCTTCTGGCTCCCCCACAGGGGTGCAGGTGTTACAACACTTGAGCCATCTAAAAGTCTCATTTATTTATTTGGAAAGGAAGGAGTGAAAGACAGAAAGATCATCCATCTGCTGGCTTACTCCTCACCTGACCACAATTGCCTGGCTGAGTCAAGCTAAAGAAAGCAGAAGTCGAGCCCGGCGCGGTGGCGCAAGTGGTTAAGGTCCTCGCCTTGCACGCCCGGGATCCCATATGGGCGCCGGTTCTAATCCCGGCAGCCCCACTTCCCTTCCAGCTCCCTGCCTGTGGCCCGGGAAAGCAGTCGAGGACGGCCCAAGGCTTTGGGAACCTGCACCCGCGTGGGAGACCCGGAAGAGGCTCCTGGCTTCGGATCGGTGTGAATCATCGGACGGAAGATCTTCCTCTCTGTCTCTGCTCTCTGTATATCCGCCTTTCCAATAAAAATTAAAAAAAAAAAACTTAAATAAAAAAAAGAAAGCAGAAGTCAATTACAATTATGCTCCGTGAAACTCATCTTCCAGCTCTATGCTTTGGAGAGTTGTATGAATGGATCTTAGCTGTTAAAGAGTTTTGAAAACACTGTACATTTCCATACAAGCTAGAATTTTTATTTCTTTGTAACTTATTCAGCTTGATAATTGGTTTTGATTTGGTGGGTTGATGACATGGCATAATATATTTACTCAATTTGAAACTATTCATTTCTACACACTTTTTTTTAGTCACCTACTAAATGAAACATACAATACTATCTGTGCTGAAATTTGAAAATTAAGTCCTTAAAAATAATGGGGCCTGGTGCAGTAGCCTAGTTGCTAAAGTCCTCACTTTGCATGCACCGGATCCCATATGGGCACTGGTTCATATCCAGCCACTCCATTTCCCCTTCAGCCTGGGAAAGCAGTCAAGGATGGCCCCAAGGCCTGGGATCCTGTACCCACATGGGAAACCTGAAAGAAACTCCTGGCTTCGGAGCGGCTCAGCCCCAGTCATTGCGGCTCCTTGGGGAGTGAACCAGTGGATGAAGGATCATTCTTTGTCTTAATCTCTCTAAATCTGAAGTTCCGATAAACATTGTTTAATGCTTATTTTGGTTTACTTGGCTAATGCTGCAGTTGGCGGAAATAATAAACATTAGAGGTGCTAATACGCAGTGAATGCATTGGATTTAAGAAAATGATCACTTTTATTAAGCTTAAAAAGAAAGCCGAACTCAGGAACTCCATCAAGACCTACCATGTGGATATTAGGAATCCAAGAATTTAGAACATCGTCTGCTCGCTTTCTAGGTTGCTCAGCAGGGAACTGGACGGAAAGCCGAACAGCTGGCAGCCGAACCTGTGCTCAGACACGGATGCCTGCATCGCAAGCTAGCCCTGCACAGGATGCTTTTTCATAATATTTCTCATTCCTGGTTGGTTGGAACCACAGATCCAGAACC